GAGGGGAAAAGGGAAATATGAGGGGAAAAGGGTGGGAAATGTGAGGGGAAAAGGGAAATATGAGGGGAAAAGGGTGGGAAATGTGAGGGGAAAAGTGAAATATGAGGGGAAAATGGTGGGAAATGTGAGGGGGAAAATGGGAAATATGTGGGGGAAAGGGTGGGAAATGTGAGGGGAAACGGGAAATATGAGGGGAAAAGGGTGGGAAATGTGAGGGGAAAAGGGAAATGTGAGGGGAAAAGGGAAATATGAGGGGAAAAGGGTGGGAAATGTGAGGGGAAAAATGGGAAATATGAGGGGAAAAGGGTGGGAAAAGTGATGGGGAAAAATGGGAAATATGAGGGGAAAAGGGTGAGAAATGTGAGGGGAAAAATGGGTGAGAAATGTGAGGGGGGAAATGGGAAATATGAGGGGGAAAGGGTGGGAAATGTGAGGGGAGAAAAGGGCGGGAAATGGGAATAAGAGAAGGAAACGTGAGGGAGAAAATACCGGGAAACATGAGGGGGAAAGTGAGAAATGTGAGGGGAAAAGGGCTGAAAACCTGAGGGGGAAAAAAGGTGGGAAAGGTAAAAGTGGCAGGAAATGTAAGGGGAGAAAAAGGTGGGAAAAGTGAGTGGAAAAAAAGGTGGAAAATGTGAGGGGGAAATGGCGGGAAATGTGAGGGGAAATAGGGTGGGAAAAGTGATGGGGAAAAGGGGCGGAAATGTGAAGGGTTTAGGGGAGGTTTTTGGGTGTTTTGGGGTGTACCTGAGGTGGTTTGGGATGGTTTTTGGGTGTTTTGGGGTGTTCCTGGGGTGGTTTTGGGGTGTTTTGTGGTTTTTTTGGGGTGTTTCGGGGTCCCCACCTGCGTGCCGCTGAAGTACCGGGGTGGGGTTTAGGGGGAGGTTTTTGGGTGTTTCTGGGATGGTTTTTGGGGTGTTTTTGGAGTGTTTCAGGGTGTTTCGGGGTCCCCACCTGCGTGCCGCTGTAGTACCGGGGTGGGGTTTAGGGGGAGATTTTTGGGTGTTTCTGGGATGGTTTTTGGGGTGTTTTTGGGGTGTTTTGGGGTGTTTCTGGTATTTTTTGGGAGTGTTTTTGGGGTTGTTTGGGGTGTTTCAGGGTGTTTCGGGGTCCCCACCTGCGTGCCGCTGTAGTACCATGGGTGGGGTTTAGGGGAAGGTTTTTGGATGTTTCTGGGATGGTTTCTGGGTGTTCCTGGGATGGTTTTTGGGGTGTTTCAGGGTGTTTTGGGGTCCCCACCTGCGTGCCGCTGTAGTACAGGGGGTGGGGTTTAGGAAAAGGTTTTTGGGTGTTTCTGGGATGTTTTTTGGGTGTTTCTGGGATGGTTTTTGGGTTGTTTCTGGGGTGTTTCGGGGTGTTTTGGGGTCCCCGCCTGCGTGCTGCTGTAGTACCATGGGTGGGGTTTAGGGGAAGGTTTTTGGGTGTTTCTGGGATGGTTTTTGGGGTGTTTTTGGGGTGTTTTGGGGTGTTTCTGGTATTTTTTAGGAGTGTTTTTGGGGTTGTTTGGGGTGTTTCAGGGTGTTTCGGGGTCCCCACCTGCGTGCCGCTGTAGTACCGGGGGTGGG